GGAGTCCACTTTCTCCTTTTGTTTTCCTTTAACAAGTGAAGAGAATTAAGTAAATTAAAGACTTTTTTCTTTAAACACTAAAAGCCATGTCAAACACTGGCTTTACTTCTCTTAATACTGAAATACTGCACTTTATTACCATGTTTATGAGTAGATTTGTGCATTCTGTCACAGGCTGTAATGAATCAGAAGGTTATGAACCTTCAGGGTTGCAGTTAATACCAAGTTATCAAAATCTGAGGTCTGGCATAAGAAGGAGGTGACCTGATTTTTGCTGCCTCATTGGTCCTAATGAGATTTGCAGTCATAGTGCAAATCAACAAAGCCCAGAGATCAAACAGAACACTGGGAAATGAATGTTTTCTAATCAGCTACTTTTCTGTTGCATAGGGACTTCCAACTGGTCAGAAAACTACTTCACTGATACAGCTGGAGTGGGACTAATTATCAAACAGAATTTGACCAATCTGCAAAGAAGGCAACAACATGTCCAGGAACAGATGAAAGATCTTTTTGAGCGAGACTGGAATTCCAAATATGCGGTGAATCTGGAAGATGTGCAGGGACAGAAAGACTGTAACTGGGATGGAGACCCTGAAGTGAATTGAAATGTGCACTTAAAATAGAAACAAAAAAATGTATTTGAATCTTGTTCACATGCATATCAAGGAACTCTCTTCTTTTTGTCTTTGTCAGAGAAATCACTTCCTCATGGCATCCACATTGGTGACATGAGAATTTCTGATAGCTGATTCTACCTGCAAAACCACTAGTCAGTGTGTGATGTTTGATTTTTTTGTGTGATTACCTCATTGCAGAGTTAATGAAATGCATACAATGTTGTATGACAAGCTGTCTGGCACTAAAGCAAACATCAGAGACACAGATCATTATTGCTCTGCTATTCTATCTTTAGAAACTATATATTTCAACCTAAAAGTTCCATTTACAGTGTTTACTTACATGTGTTTAAACATTTTTAATAAACTTCTGGCCATCTTAATATTTCAGCCATGTATATGATCACCTACAATAGCAAGGACAGATTTTTAAAAGCATTTAGAAAATAGAGATACAGGAATTAATGTTGGTTGAAGAAATTAGAGGTTAGCTGTTTCCAAGTGTTGAGGCTAGCTGCTGGAGATAAATGCCTGGGATTTAAACTTTGAGGCCAGTTTCCGACTCAGCTGCCCTGGAACCCCGAGTGTCTGGGTGTGTTTGGATGTCTGTTTGTCAGTCTTGTGCAGCAAACAGGATGGGGAGCAGGACAAAGCTGCTACATGGGTGCTGTTGTGGCTGGGGCATCCCTCCTGCACTGTGGGCAGTGCTTGGAGAGGCTCCTTGCCCCTTCTGGGCTGCCCTGGTGCTGGCCCTGAGCACTGTTGTGTCTCTGGGCTGCCCTTCCTCCTGCAGTCACCCAGGGACTACAGCCCTGAGCCACCTGGTGCCTGATATCTGTATCCACCACAGCTCTGCCCTGGGTGACTTTCTGAGGTGACAGGAAAGGAGAGCAGGGCTCGTGCTCCAGCTGTGAGTGACACTGGGCTGCTGCTCCCTGAGCCTTGCCAGGGCTGTGCATACACAAAAATACCCATACAAATAAGGACTTTCAGAGATGACCCCCATCAATGTTCAATTTTTCTGGTTTCCAGGCTGCTCCTTAGCTATCTTTTCAGACACTTCCAAGATTCCTTGGAGTATCTTATCCATCATTACAAATCAATGCTTCTTGTTACTGTGGCAGATTTTCTAAGACATGTGCAGATATCGTTGAAATTTTGGGAGTATTTATGCCAAAATATTGAGGAACATGCAGGTGCTTTTCGTGCTCTCACCCCCTATTTCTTTACTAGAGTTAGCTTGAAAATCTTTGTGAGACGTTACATCTTCAAGCAACAAAGCAGTTTTCTGTAGAGGAGCACATTCCTCTAGATGGCACTCCAAGCTGTGTTTTCTGTTTTGGCAGGGCTAGCTATTGCAGGAGTAAGAAGAAAACTTCCTTCTCTTCTACTCAGGAGCTCAAATCTGACAGTGCTGGATTAGTTGTTCCGTGGGACAGAGTTTCTGGACAAGGTGGCAGAATTTTTCTTATGGCCATATAAACCTCAGGTGGGTTAATGTTGGTCTTTTAAAAGAAAAATGGATGCTTAGGAGAGTGCTCTTCTATTTTCTCTACTGACTTCACTGTTGGTTTTCCTCTACATATGGGAAAGTGAGGGGGGAGTTTACGATACAATGAACTGGATCTAAGAGGAACTTGGGAGTATTTCCCTGGTTTCTTGTGAGACTTTTGAAGCCTATTCATACCTTGATTCTTATTCACTTGTTTTCTGTTAGACATCCAAGTTATAACCAGGCTTTGAATCTCAATTCTTTTCTATTTATGAAACAGGGTTAATACTAGACCTTATCCAATAATCTCTTACTTATCTCTAACGTGTAGATTGTGATTTCTCCAAGATAAGGACTGTACCAAATGTATCCTGGGTCCTCCAGTGGCATTTATTAGCATCATCCTTGGGCAGATGTCTATTGGGAAAGAGATCCACCCAGAGGGTGGGTGGCTGGGCAGTGGAAAGGCTCCCCAGGAAAGCATTTGAACTACACTCTTGTAGACGTGGTGTGATTCTTGGGGTTGTACTGTGTAGAGACAGAAGCTGGACCCTGTGAGTCCCTTCTGACTCAGGATACTCTGTAATTTTCTAGTCTGACTGTAGGCTGTTCAGATTTTTTTTAGTATTGGTTTATTCATGTCTAGAAAAAGTCGCTGTTGTGGCTCATCTCAGGTACCTGTGTGATGAGGGAGTACAAGGTGTGTGAATTGGCTCTGCTTTACTGCAGTGGCTTTCAGGAGGAGCTGCTGCACTGCTCTCCCAGCAGGATCACCTCTGGAAGCTCTTGGTTTGGTGCAGTGCCTTGTGGCTACAGTGCTGCAACAGCAATGCAGGTGACAGCAAGACAGAACCTAGCTGGCTCCATGGGTTATGAGTACTGACATGACCACAAAGTCACCTTATTAGACACCAGCTTGTTCCAAAAGTATTATCTGTTCACATTTTTTGCTGCCATTACCCAGGATTTTCCTTTCCCAGTTGTTACAGATAAAACATACCTTTGCTGCTTTAATCCAGGTACTGAGAAGACATTTCATCTACCATTTATGACCTATCAGGGTACACTTAATTTCTTGACAGTCATGAATATCTCCACAATCCTTAGAGGCTAGCTCTTGGGCCATGGACACTGACTCACAGACCTCTGCTCTCTACAGAGGCCCAGAAAAGTCAGCTTTAGTTGCAGGGTGGATTGTGGTGGTGCAGCTTCCTGAAGAGGGGAAATGGGAGGTGTCAGTTCCTTCTTCCTGGTGTCCAGTGTTAGGATGTGTGGGAATAGTTCAAAGTTGCATCAGGGGAGGTTCAAACTTGACAGTGGGAAATATTTCCTTACCAAGAGAGAGAGGTCAAACACTGAACCAGACTTGTCTTGAGATGTGTTCAATGCCACAAGCCTGTCAGTGTTCAAGAGACATTTGGGCAATGCCCTTAATAACCTCAATGTTTTTTCGATGTTTTGGTCATCCCTTAAGTGGACAAGCAATTGGACTGAATGATCATTGTGGGCCCCTTTCAATTAACTATTCTATTCTGTTGTGTTCTATTCTAAATGTCTTTAAAGTGAAACAGGGTTAGATCAGATATAAGGAAAAAATCTTTACTGTGAGGGTGGTGAGGCCCTGGCCCACATTGCCCAGAGCAACTGTGGCTGCCCCATCCCTGGGAGTCTTCAAGCCGGATGGGGCTCTGAGCAAGCTAGGCCAGTGGAAAGGGTCCCATGGCAGGGGGTTAGATGGGTGATCTTGAAGGTTCCTTCTGTCCCCTTAACATTCTAGGATTCTGTGATAAGAAGAGAAGAAATGAAGAACATCTTAATCTACAGATGGTTAGACAGCCAAGTGCACTTCACTTACAACCCATTTCCTAAGTGTTTTGGTGTGTCTGCTTTTCTGTACTAAGTAGAACATGGAAAAATATGGGAAGAGAAAACTACTATAATGAAGCATGTCTGCACTTGTCATTCTGGAGAAAGGATCTCATGAGTGAAGTGGTGATTGCAGCCATCTTGGCCAAAGAGGCCACAAAGAAATTGAGTTTAAAATCTCTGTTGACAGGAGGAAAAGGGACAGCAAAACTTCAGCTGTGGACAGGAGGAGAGCTGACTTCAGGTTGTTCAGGGAACTAGTGAGTAAAGTCTCCTGGGAAAATTTTTTGAGGGGATTGTCCTGCTGTGCTCTGCTCTGCTCTGCACTGGGGCAGCCTCGTCTGGAGTCCTGTGAGCAGTTTTGGGTGCCACAATAAAAAAAAAAAAAAAAGACATTAGAGAGCATCCAAAGGAGGCCACAGGGATGATGAAGGGTCTGGAGGGGAAGCTGTATGAGGAGTGGCTGAAGTCATTTGGTCTGTCCAAATGACTTCAGCTCTCCCCTGGAGGGGGGAGCTCAAGTGTGGCCTTCAAATCCTCATGAGGGGCAGCAGAGGGACCAGTACTGATCTCTTCACTCTCGTGGCCAGTGACAAGACCTGAGGAAATGGCTGGAGCTGAGTCATGAGGGATTTAGGATGGGTGTTAGGAAAACATTTTTCACTCAAAGCATGTTTGAGCACTGGGACAGACTCCCCAGGGCAGTGGTCACAGCCCCAAACCTGACAGAGTTCAAGAAGCCTTTGGACAATGCTTTCACGCAGATGGTGGGAGCCTTGGGGTGTCCCACGCAGGGCCAGGAGTGGGATTCAAGGATCCTGACAGGTTCCTTCCGACTCAACATATTCTATGATTCAACTTGGGATTGTAATGAGTGAAAATTCTCCCTTACCCCTGTATTTAGGAACTGTGCTGTCATTATGCATCCACCTCAGCAGACAGAGAAGTACATGTAAACTTCTGCAAATTTAAGCTGGGATTTTCCAAATCAGAAATGTCAGTAACTCACGCTACTCAAGTTATTATTTGTATAGTGAGTTTATTGTGAATTAAGAATACAGTGTTTTAATGGTACATGTGAAGGCTGTCACGTATGCCCCCCTGGTTTTCATTGTGCACTTGAGAGAAGCGTTAATATAAACAAAAGAGCAAATAATTATATACACCTCCTTTCCCAGAAAATCTCTGAAGCAATTCCACCAGTGTGGCAGATCATTCTAAGCATTTAACTATCCCATAAGTATATACATTAAAATTTATTTATCCACATTTGAATAATATTCTTTGGAAGCATGTTTTATTCTGGTATCTTACAAACATGATTTAGTTGCATGGTTTTTGGTCTTGAAATTATTCTGTTGGTTTTTGCTGTTTGGTTTTATTTTTTTAATATTGTAAGGCTAAATATGACCTGCCACAACAACAAAAAAAATGAGAAGAGAGGAAGAGGCAAAGCATTAGTCTTTCTACACTAATATTTAATTTTTATATTTTAAAATGTTTGTGGAATATATATACTACCTTAGCTGAAATAAAGAAAAAAACATTTTAATAACAAAGCAAAAGTAGATCAGAAAGTTCCCAAATCTAAACAGGTAAGTATAGTTCTCATAATAGTTTAGAGCCCATTCTGAAAACAATCTGTAATCTAAATATAACTGATGTGTTTTGAAAAGCCTCTTTAACAAGTCTTTTGGTACTGTTGAGCCTTTCAATTATTTACTTTCATGGTTCTGGTATCTACCCAGACTTTGCTCAACCTATGGGCTCATCTGCACATGTCATAATTGTTGTCCTTGGGGTAGATATGAAGAAGTAATTCTTATTATTAGTGTACAATCTCGTACATCCATGAACTTGAAAATTTGAATTTAGTAAATTCTGTTCAAGTGTTTTCATGAATACTAACCTTGGGTTTTAATTTTCAGTTAGCAGAAAATCAGGAAAACATTCTCTTCTGTGGATTATTTTGTTTTCATGGAGGATTGAGGATTGCAAAAATACAACCTTCATTTGGTTGTATCTCCAGCAATATTAGATTTACTATCTTTTTCTTCCTCCAACAAGATTAGTTCAGTTCTTGCTGAAGATGTCACGATAGATGAGGCCCCGTCAGTTTCAGCTTTTTCACCTTCTCCTATTTCTTTAGGTGATAAGCTTTCTTGTGCATCAAAAAACACATCTGGCTTATCTGTTGGACTATCTTCATCTGAGAGTCTTCCCTCTTTATGACCCACCTCTTCTTTATCAACAGACTTAGCCTTTTTGGAAGGAGATGTGAAACCAAGCTTGGGAAATCTAAACCATCCAGCTTTTTCAGCCTGCTTAGAGGAATCATCTGATGTGTCAGCAGGTTTCACATCTTCTGGAACCGATTTTTTTATTTCTGCTTTTGCATCTGTGCTTGTTTCATCCCCAGAAGATGAAAAGCCAATATTTGGAAGCCAAAATTTAAATCTTCCAGGAGATCTTTTACTATCAGTCTTTTCTTTCTCATTGGTTGTGTCTTTTTCTTCACCTTCCACTGCTTCAACTACATCTTCATCTTCAGAGAGAGGAGCTGCAGTTATTCCCTCTGGTGGTTTATCAGGAAAACTCTCTTCAAGTTTACTGGAACCCTTTACTTCAGCAACAGATGTTTTTAACTTTGACAAACTTACTTTTCCTCTCGATTCTTCAGACTCGTGGTGTGGTTTGTCGGATAGTTTAAGCTCAGCACTGCCAGTTCTCTGTGCTGCTACTCCAAAGCTTTCACCAGCACCTGTAGGTTTTCTCACTGATGCATCTCCTGTTGGAGATGGCTGCTGGATCAGCATGTCTAAATCACTGTGTGATTCAGGCAACTTGGCCTTGAGCAATGAGAATCCCAAAGTGGCAGTTTTGACCTCTGATGACAGAATCTCTGATTCTTTCAGTATTTCAGTAGTGTAAATCTCACACCGCTCAATAGCAACATGTTCAGGTTCTACTTTTTCACTTACTTCTTGGCCCTCTGTATAAGACCAATGAATGTCTTGCCCTGCACTTGAAAGAGAGGACTCTATGGTGGCTGTCATTTGTGCTGTTTTAATGTCAGGTTCAGTCAGAGTTAAAATTTTGCTTTTTGCTTTTTGAACACTCCCCTCTACAGCTCCTGGTGTTTCTTCAAGGATAGCAGAGCTTGCTTGCAGTTGCACTATTTCAATGTCAGTACTAGATCCCTTCGGATCTGTTACTACTTTTGACAGTGAAACATCAGCTTCAATTGGGGAAGTTCTGAAAGTGAATCTTGGTATTTTTAGTTTGGGAATTCTTACACTTACTTCTGGGACACCTTGTGTTCGGTCCACTGTTTCCCCTGTTATGCTGGCAGATGCTTCTATATGATCTAGAGCTGGACTTTTCAGGCCAATTGATTCTTCTGGTTTTGGTAACTGCATTTCTGCTGTGCCTCTTTCACTTTTAGGTGCTGAATCAGCTTCTGACTTTGGCAAATGGGTATCATCTTCAAACCCCCTGATTTCAGAATGCAACATTCCAAACCTTGGAATCTTAAACTTGTATGCTTTAATTTTACTTGTTTCTGCTCTGTCTTCTACTTGCACTTCCACTCCTGCAAACACATCCTTGTCAACACTTTTCACTCGAAATTTCATTTCAGGATCTACTTCAGTAATTTTAACATCTGTCTTCACTGTTGGAACTTCTACCTTTAGATCTTCCAGCTTAGCAGTAACGTAAGTACCATCTTCTGATCCTTTTGTTGTAGACCATTCACACATAGTCCTTTTTAAGTGACTTTCTTCACTCTCTTTTCCTATGATTTTCACCTCACCCTTTATCTTTCCTTTTTTAATTGCTGCCTGTTTGTTTTGAATATCTAGCTCTTCCTTTGGAAGATTAACATCTATTTTCTTCTGTGTTGCATCCAGAGTAATTTCAGCTGATGATGGTTTGCATCCTACCCCTGATGTCTCTAACTTCATGGAACTTTCTACCTTTTGGACATTTATATCCTGTGATTTGCCTTTATGCTCTGGAGATGTCACAGTACACGTAGGAAATTTATTTGTTGAACTCTTGTCTTTGTCAGTTTCTGAAGCACTTGGGTATGATTTAGACAATTCTGCTGCAGACACTGTGATTTCTGAAGTATGTCCATCAGCACTACGCTTAACTACATCTGCGTAAGTTTCAGTTTGTGGAATACTCACTCTACTATCTGTTCTTTCTGTGGATAATGAAATATCTCCTTCAATCTTTGGCAAGCCAACATTAGGACTCTTCACAGAATCTCCTAATTTTTGAATCCCTTCTTTTCCAATAGTAATTTCAGCAACTGCATGTGGTAATGAGAAGGTATTTTCAGGAACACTTGTTTCAGTTTGTACTTTAGCAGAAGGAATACTTGCCTGAGCTTTTTCCATACTTTCAATATTGGCATCACTTTTTTTTTCCTTTAAGGATGACCTGCCAAATGCAGGTATTCTGAATTTTGGCATTTTAAACCATCCCTGATGTTCTTCAGCCTGAACTTCTTCAGCTTTTATTTCATGTTCTTTTAATTTGATTTCCTTCTCCTCAAGACTCTCACTAACTCCCTCTGTCTTTGGTTTAGACACTGACTGGGTGCTTATGTCTACCTTTGCATCTTTAATGCCATCCATCAGAGATTGGGGTGTTTTTATCTTACCATCAACTACTCCAGGATCTGACATATCAGATATAAGTTCTGATGCTGGAACTCCCACAGCAATGTCAGCAATTTCATTTGTTGTTCTTAGTTGGGGTAGCTCAGCTTCTATTTTTGGAGAGCTGATTTCTGTCTCTGGGACTTTCCCTTTTGTTCGGGAGATTCCAAACTTTGTCTTCTGGAATTTGGGCATTTTAATCTTCCCTTCATGACCTTCCAATTTCACTGTTTTTCCATCCACAACTGATGAGCTTTCTGTTAATATACAAGGGCTCTTCAAATCAACTGAAGCTTCTCCTTTGGGGAGTTTAGTACCTGTTTTTTGAATGCTACATTCATTGGTAGAACTTATTTTTACGTCAACCTGTTGAAAACTCCCTTCTGAGGGAGTCAAAGAAGCATCAATCTTTGCAGAGCTGGCTGTTATTTCAGTTTTAGAGGCTTCAGTTTCTACTCTGGAAAATTCCAGAGCGTGGACTGTAGTGTCAGCCAGTTTTATGCTGATTTGTGCCCCTTCTTCAGTCCCTTCAGGATGACTTTTTTCTATATCAGGTATCTTGATAGAATCATCACCCTCTATTTCTGTTTTAGGAAAAGTAGAATCACCTTCAACTTTTTGAGATTTTGGAACCTTGATCTTGGAGAGTGAAATTTTAGGCATGACAAATTGAGGCTTTTTAACTGGACTTTTTTCTTCAACTTTTCCTGCAGCTATTTCCAGGTCAAGGTCTGGCCCACTACCTTGATTATCAGTTGCAGTTCCTTTCATTTCTGTGTCTGTTCTGCTTGACATGACAGCAAGCTTTTGGTCTTCCAGATTTGCTCCAGAATCAGATTTAACACTTGCTTCCTTCTTTGGTGACCAACTGAAGGATGGAAGTTTGAATTTGGGCATTTTGAAATGTCCTTCTTTCTCTTCTCCGTCTCCATCTTGCTTTATTTCCCCCTTGATCTTTACTGCTGCATCTGAATCCTGAATACCACTGTCTGTTTTTGGAATAGGAATGTCAGCTGATGGGAGGTGAACATCAGTCTCTGATGTCTTACTGTCAGTTTTGGTAATTTTGGCTTCAGGGCTGTAAGTCCCCATTTCTGTGCCACATTCCACCTTCAAGCCTGGTGCCTCAACAGCAATGTCAGATATTTCTACTGTTGCTTTTAGCTGGGGAACCTTGACTTCTGATTTGGATTGGCCAGCATCCTTTTCTGATCTTTTCCCTTTAGAAAGTGTAATTCCTCCCTTTGGCATTTGGAATTTAGACATTTTTGTTTTCCCTTCAGAACCTTCAGCTTTTATCTCTACATCACCCTCAGCAATTTCACTTGTTCTTTCAACACTTATGTCAGGACTCTTCAAGTCAAGCGAACCTTCAGGTATCATCTTAATATTTGAGGTGGAGAGGCTGGCATTAGCAGCAGCTGATTTCAGTGTCAGCTCATCTCCTTCACATGTAGAAACTTTGACCTCACCTGTAGGCATGCTAATATCCATCTCTATTTTGGGAGCTTTGGCTTCTGGTTTGGAAAATTCCAAAGTTGGGATTGTAACTGTAGGAACTTCTATGCACAGTCCTGCAACTTCTCCACTGCTTCCTTTCTCAGATTTCTGAACAGAAACCCCTTCTTTTTCTTGTTTGGCTCCAGATACATCAGTTTCCAGTACAGGCAGAGAGACCTGTACTTTCTGACCCTTAATTTTAGGGAATGAGATCTTTGGCATGGTAAATTGGGACTTCTTGGTTTTGGCCTTTTCACCGTCTTTTTCTGTTGTATCCAATTCTTCATGAAGGTATTGATTCTCAGGAGCAGGAGAAGTTAATTCAGATCCCATATCTCCAGATAAGGTAGACAAAGCGGGTCCTTCCAGATGTCCCTCAACATGAGAAGGAGCAAAAGCTTCTTTCTTTGGTGACCACTTAAATGAAGGCAGTTTCAATTTTGATGATTTAAATTTGTTTTCTTTCTCCTCAGTACCCTTCTCTCCTTTAACTACTTCCTGTTCTGCCTTGCACTCTAAATCTGGCCCATGGATTTCTGCTTCTAAGTTTGGCAAAGTAACCTCCAAGGATGAGAGATTTGGATCCATTGTTGGTGCATCCAGAACAACTTCAAGTGAAGGCTTATGCAACTTTACACCAAGATGGGCATCAGAGATTTGAGCTGGTTTTTCAGTATCAGGATCAGTCATATCAGATGTTATCCTTCCCTTGAAAATTTCAGATTCCACGTTGGAACCAATATCACTTTCAGATGCTTTTCCCTTAGATCGAATTCTGAATTTGGGTTTTCGGAATTTAGGAATTTTAACTGTGATCTCTGTGTCAATCAAAGACATTTCAGCAGATGTGGTTTTGCCCTCTAGCTTAAAACCTCCCTGATCTTCAGAACCATCTTCACTTAAAATTTCAAAATCTGAAAGATTTTCCTCAGCAAGAGATGCTATTTTTGATTCTGATTCTGTTAGATTAGTTTGGTATTTAGTAAGAGTAATATCCCCCTTTTGTAATGAGGACTCCAGATCAATATTAGATGAAGTCACTTCAGATTTAGAGAAACCAATGCTAGGAACTCTGAATTTAGTACTTTTAGACACACTGCCACCCTTAACAACAGACAAACGCTTTGGTTCAACACTCTCAGAAAGAACAGAAGAACTTTCCTCTGTTAAAGAATAACAAAGCGTTTCTGAAACAGAAATATCACACCCTGACTGTCTTTCTGCATGAGGTTTGAAACTTTTAGAAACAGAAATTTTAGGCATTCTAAATACAGAGCTTTTAGATTTACCAACTTCCTCCTCTTTACCAGTACAAGAATCGAGGGGAATATCAAAACTGGGCGGCTGGATTTCAGAGTCAGAAAATGTCACATGTACATTGGCGGTTCCTGACGGCACCGTACCTTCAGGCTCCTTGAGAGTAATGTCCACCTCGGCGGCCACAGTGCCCTTGGGCTCTCTGCTGCTGGACCAGCCAAAGGAAGGCATGCCAAACTTGGGCATCTTGAACTTGCCATCCTTGGTCTTGGCGGCCTCCTTCTCTGGGACTTTGGCGTCTCCTTCAAGGCTGAGAGTGGCCTCGGGCGCCTGCAGGTCGACGCTGTCCTTGGGAAGGCTGACGTCCACAGTGCTGAGGCTGATGTCCACCTTGGGAGCTTTGATGTCAGCTTTGGGCATCTTGAGGGAGGGCTTCTCCAGCTTCACGCCGGTGCCCTCCCCTGCAGCCGTCACGGTGGCGGACGGGAGCTCGACCTCTGCGCTGGGCAGGCTGACCTCGGCTGTGGGCGCCTCGGCCTTGGGGGAGGATACTGTGAATTTGGGTTTGTCAAACTTGGGCATCTTGAGCTTGCCTTTCAGGCCCGTGCCTTCCAGCTCGAGCTTGCCTTCGGCGGAGGGCGCTTTGAGGTCTACGTCGGGCGCTTGCAGCTCGAGGGAGCCTTCGACCGAGGGCAGCTTGACGTCGGGGGCCGTGACAGTGATGTCGGCGTCGGCGGCCTTGAGCTCTGCCTGCGGGAGGCTGACGTCTGCGTCCATTTTTGGAGACTTGACGGTGGGCTTGGAGAAGACTACGCTGGGCACCTTGACTTTGGGCATGTGTATTTTCATGCCGCCGCCCTCAGCTTTGCCAGCGGCCACCTCCAGGCTGGCTTCGGCCTCGGGGCCCTGCAGGGCGACTTCGCCCTCCTGGCCTTTGGGCAGCGAGACCTCGGCCTTGGGCAGGCTGACCTGCGCCTGGGGAGCTTTGACTTTGGGCAGCTTGACGCTGGGCATCTTGACGTCGGGCATCTTGAATCGGCCTTTCTCACCCTCTGCTGCTACCGTGGCCGTCTCGACGGTCACCTCCACACCGGGCGCTTGGATATCAGCCGCGGGCAGGGTCACCTCCACTTCGGTGGCTCCGGAAGGCACCGTCACCTCAGGCTTCTGGAGGCTGACGTCCACCTCGGCGGCCACGGTGCCCTTGGGCTCTCTGCTGCTGGACCAGCCAAAGGAAGGCATGCCGAACTTGGGCATCTTGAACTTGCCGTCCTTGGTCTTGGCGGCCTCCTTCTCTGGGACTTTGGCGTCTCCTTCAAGGCTGAGAGTGGCCTCGGGCGCCTGCAGGTCGACGCTGGCCTGGGGAAGGCTGACGTCGACAGAGGGCAGGCTGATGTCCATCTTGGGAGCTTTGATATTCGATGGTGTTATTTCTGAAATTTCATCTTTTGATTTTTTATTCAATTCACTTTTCAGTATTTCATTTTCTGTTTGTAAAGTACATATTTTTCCCTTTCTATCTTCGGTTTTAATTTGTATTGGGGAAATTTTTATTGGTTTTGTTTTGGGACTCTGCAACTGTCCTTCAAGGTTTTGTGTTATATAGTTTTCATCTATTTTTTCCACGGATATTCCTATTTTTGTTTCAGCACTTGGAAGTGTAATTTCTTCTGCTGGTCCACTTACCTGAAGTCCTCCTGCATTTTCTAGGGTTTGCACTTTTATATCCCCTTCACTTATCTCTTCTTCAGGCTGGGCTGTTTGTTCCTTGGCAATTGACCAGGTAAATGTAGGGAATTTTAATTTTGGTAGTCTGAATTTGCTTTCTTTCCCCTCTATATCTTTTTCTTCTCTCTTCATTCCAATTTCCATATTGAAGGCTTTGTCATTTGTGAGTACGCCATCGTCCTCCATCCTTTCCTTTCTTACACGACCTTCTGTGTCCTCTTTGCTTTCTTCTCTTGTTATTTTCATGTCAGTCTTAGGTGCTTTGGCCACTTTGAATGACGGCATTTGCATTTTCCAAGAAGATACGTCTGATTCTGAATCTGGCATAAGAGTTTTCACATTGAAATTCCTGCTGTCCTCTGAAGTTATATCAGCTATTTTTTCTGGTCCTGACTGTGGAATGTCACTTCCCTGTTTGGTAGTGTCCTTCTCTGTCTCTTTTCTTTTGGGCACTGAAATTCCATAATTTAGTATTTGTGTGTCTTCTTCTGCTTGTTTTTCTCCTGATTCCAGTGTGTCAGATGCCTGTATTTCTGCTTTAGCGGTGCCAATTTCTAGGCCTTTTACCTGTACAGATCCTTTAGTATAGTGACCCATCAAGTCTATGTTAATTCCACCTTCTCCATCTTTTTTATCTGCTGTTCCTTTCTGTTTCTTTTTTCGGGATTTTGATGAGGCTTGTGGTGATTTTTTAGTTGGGCTTACCTTCAGATCAGCAGTTTCTAAACTAGGCTTTGGTATCTCTGTTGTTATGTCTGGTACTTCAGGTACACTAACTTTTGATTTTGCTTCCTTGTCTTTTTTAATGCTTATTTCAACTTCAGGGCATTGTTTTACATGAGATGGAATGCCATTTTTAATCTCTTTTAAGTCTTTTGCTAAAGTTTCATGTTCCTCCCCCATTTTCATTTCATAAGCAGGAGATGTGGTATATTCAACAGTTAAGATTTCAGGATTTTCCAGGCTTATATCATCTTTATATATTTTTTCTCTTTCAGAGATCAGTGTCGTTTTTGTTTCTTTTTTTTGCTTCTCTTGTGGTTCTGGTTTGGACCTGTGCATTCTGAATCCAATGCTAGGGAACTTCAGCTTCCTTTGGCTTCCTTTTTTCTCTTTGGCATGGACCTCTTGTGGAAATTGAGACTCTGTGTCCGTGCTTGTAGGGGAAATGTCCTGCAAAGCAGGCTCATACGCATCTGATGTACTATGAGATCTTCTGTGCCTCAGTATCTTTTTATTTTTGATTGATTGAAATTTTGGCCACGATAATCTATCTTTTTTAGGTCTCTTACTTCTTCCTACCCTTTGGCTTACAATTAATGTTTCTCTGTCTTCTTCTGAAATGGATTTTCCTGAAACATGCAGTGTTTCTTCAGGAATGCTCTCACTGAATTCTTTTTCCTAAAAGAACAAATAGTAGTCAGAAGATTAGAAGTAACCTAAATATAGGTGCAACATAAAATAAAAAACATACCATAAAACATGTATAAAAATGTTATTTTTATTAGTAGTATCTACTTATTATATTAAAAATCCTGAAGATTATAAAAATGGGCAATGTCATGCAGAAATTACATAAAACAAATTGACTGTAATATATGGATTTCTGAAGATTTTAATTCCTTGCAAGCAAGACATCAAGACATTATAGTAAACAGAGGTTTCTATATGTGTGTGTATATATATATATATATATATATATATATATATATATATATGCCTGTACAAATATATGTTACATATAGCATTTATGTACATGTATATGAAGAAAATATAATTTTTATGTTGATGGAAACCTATTAAGAGATCTGTCAAAATATCACTGGTTAAACACAGATTTTTTTTTTTTAATAGAAAAGCCTTACAGAGGAGTTTTGGATAAAAATTTTTACTGATATTTTACATTTTTGAACATACTTATTATAAGTATTACAGAGATTACCCCAGTCTGTTCCATCAGTGGACAATTAACAATTAAAAAATGCTGACTCGCTAAAGAATATTTTCATACCCTCAAACAAGATTGTGGATTTATATAAAATCCATAGATATCCATATCCATAGACAAAAATCAAGATATTTAAAAAGCTGCAAATATTGTGTGGGATTTTTTAAAATCATGAATATTCACGCTAGTAACTTTAAACACACTTGTAAGTCTTAAGAAGACACAAGCGTGTGTTTTATCATCTATTTCCACACAGCACATTACTATAGTATGTTACCCAAACTTTGTAAATTAATCAGAAATCTACCTGGCCTATCCTTTCCTTTTTGTGCTGGCCCAAAGAGTGTTCCAGATCTTCTTGCACGGCAATTTTTCTTTTGAGGCTGAATTGGACTCTGTATGGCTCGGAATATTGGAGAATCTTGAGTGCATCTTCATATTTGATGTTATCAAAAAATATTGTAGCACTTAGAAGCTGATCACCTGTAAGCAGAGTAATACATAATTTTAATTACTTTGTGTTTTCTTATCATTTTCTCAATTGTTTTTTGTTTTCCATTTTAGTTTTGTATATACTACTTTCTGTGTGTCTTATTTAGTGTTCCAGTGAAAACTGATTTTTTTACAGTGTACAAAAAAAATCACATTTCATTATTGTTCAAGAAAGTGATCTTAGAAATTATTAATATGGACAGGTTAAGCTCACAGATAACATTAGTTGGTTTGAAATCTACTATTTCTGACACCTAAAGAAATGGCAGACCACACAGCTACAATTCTCATTATTTAAAGATACAGAATAAAATCAAAACAAAATAAAAAATCAGACTGTACCTTCTCTAAGACTAAATATTTTTGAAGCAGGAGATTCCTTAAGCACTTTTTTAATAAATATTCCTTCATTTCCTCCACCTTTCACACTAAAACCACTAGCTCCAGCTTCCACTTCTGTTTTCAGGGTCACTTCCATTGTCTCCTAGAGATGGAAAAATATGTGAATGTATCATTTTTTATTCATTTGTAATAAAGGGTTCTAAGTTGTTCTACAATAAAAATCTTAGTCTCCTCAGGTATATTTTCAATAGCTCAAGAAAGATTATCCAAAATAGAGGATATACTTAGTGCGGGTTTGATTCTGTTCTAAATTACAATTAAGCACGTGTGTTAGGGTTATGTTGAATCAGGGTCATAGGGAAAATACGTTATAATTTTAAAATGTGAAACATGTGGAAACTTTTACGGTTGAAAGATTGTATTTTCTGTGAAGATGTTAACCACTCAAATTAAAGTCAATGGGTCAGAAAAGTCAGAATAAGAGTTAATGCTGTACTGCACTCAAATCAGAGAAGGCTAAAGAAAGAATTCTAAAAAGAATTATGGAAGGACCACAAATAGGACAAATCAAGGTTCCTGCCCAAGCCACAACTTGGCCATTCATGAAGTTCCTGGTCGAAACAAGTCCAAAGTGATTCTTTGACCATTTGTCCTTCCTTCTGTCCACCCATTCATGTCTGTGTGTTTTAACAAACTTTACTATTTACAAGGCTCATACCTAAAACTACAGAGTGCTTTTATACTGACCTGCTTTGATTTGTCTGTAGAATGTTTTTTGTTTGCTTCTTGAAGCTGAAAAACAATTTTTAATTATTTCAAATTCAGAAGCCACCGTGTTCTTAAGTACAAGTCAGTTGAAATTCCTGGTTTAGAGCAAGAAATGAGGCTGACTTTACTGGCAACAGAGCAAAATCAGGATCAAGTGCCATGTACAACATAAATTATTTAACTATACTAATCCCAGCAGTAAATTAGATGCCAAGGCCTCCCTTCATTGTACCAAAATTTGTATTTGGTCAGAGACTAAATGTTTTATGACACTGGGAGCTTTTCTGTGTCCTAATGTAGTACATCATTCATCTTTCAATTTTGTAAACATTTTTTTTTTTTTTACTTATTCAACTTCAGCATGAATTTTAAACTGTTGCCTACTTAACATGGCTGTACAAGTTAAATCCATAACTTTGAATGACCAAGAGGTACAGGTAATTTTGAAATACTTGTTAGTTAGATTCAAGCCATATATTCTAACAGGAAAAACAATATAATTTCTTTATGCTCTCTGCCTTGTGTCCTTTACAGAATTAAGTCAAATGCATATTCTTGCCAAGAAACAAGAACATGGTCAGCAAGTCCAGCATAAAATAATTCCATCAATGAACACAGATGCAGTTTTTGTTGGGACAGGAAGACAATATGGCTGCAGCAATCTCCCATTCTATGGCATGTGACTCTCTGCTACTTGTGGGAGCTAAAGCCTCTTGAATCAACTTGATAAAGCCATGCCTGCATGAAAATTCAGTATCTTGCCTTTAAATAGTCTTCTTCTACGGGATATTCATAAACTGGAGAGGATCCTTGTGGCCTTGGACGAATGTCTTCTACTGCCACTTCATTAACCTGTGGAAAAGACATGAGCAGTGGTAAAGGAACATCCACATTAAACAGCGACTCGTTTTTAGGACTGTTTCTCTAGCTATCCATTGTGTTCTCTGAGTGTTCTCTGACGGTGGATAAAAAATAACCAATAACTCTTTTTTTAGGTCAAGAACAAGTACAGTTCTCATGATAAAGCACTCAAAACCACAAGGGACAGAGTTCTGAGAGACAAAACGCAGTGGTAAGCTTATTTTGATTTTCTTTTTGTATTGTATGTATCTACAGACTGAACAGACTGAAAACGGACAGATCAATTAGTATTAATTGAAAAAGTGAAAAAAAAAAAATCCGTTCCCTGCTCCATTTGCACACCTAAACTTTGCATCCAATGGCTTCAAACTTTCTTGCCCTCTATAAGCAAGCAAACCATGGAAAAGTCCCAGCAGGAATTTCTGCTGACAAGCAACTGGCATTCTTCCTTCTCCAGTCAGACAATAGGGAACCTAAACTGTCTAAATCCTTGAAGTTACTGTAGTTAAAAGCCATATAATAGTTTGCTAAGTCTTGGTAGTAAACTTATGCCAATGACCCATGCAAAGAGCAGATGCCTTTACACTGAAACATCTTTCTGGGTTTTCAGCTGGCAGAACAATCCTAAAATATAACATTTTTAATGGGAAGGAAAACCACCAGCAAGACCTAGCCATAAATAAAATATTTAAGATCCCATTTTGCCAAACTGTCATCACAGAAAAAATTCAACTCTAAAAAACTCACAGAATCTTCCTCCTCTGCATCTGCATCGCCATCAGCATCTCCCGGGGGCTCGGCCGCTCTCAGCTGTCGTCCAGAACCTGAAAGCAGCACACAGGTTGTTGGTGCCTGCACGATCCACACAGAGCACAGAGCAGTCAGCTTGCAAGCTGAAACCCCCTGCAGCAGCACGGCAAGGGCTGTGCACAGGCCACTGGAAAGGCCTGCCTTAATTTAGATTCCTAGCATCACAGAATGGTTTGGGTTGGAAGGGACCTTAAAGATCATCTAGTTCTCCCTACTAGCCATGGGCAGGGGTTATAATCTGGTTTACTTCTAATTCCACATTTTCTCCAAGGTTGGGGGGTTTTTCTCCTTCACAAAAGCCTTTACATTTCTGGATGTAAGTATTTCTGCTATCTTTAGAAAAGCTTCAAAAAGAAAAGCATCCACCATCTGCTGATCCCTGTCTCCTGCACCAGCCCCCACCTTTCCACAGGGACTGAGTGTAGCCCACAATGAAGGCTTGGAAGGATTAGAGACCAGAAAAAGGGAAGGAGAGGTGTACAAAGGGAATCTGAAGTGTTTTGCCCTGAGGTGTTTTATTCTTTAAAATAACAGAATCATTAATTAACAGTTTGCTAATTCACAATTAATTGATTGAAATTCTCCATATTGAAACTTTTCCTCACTTCTGACAAAGGTCTTAAGAAGAGGAGAGTAAATATCATGAACTGTGACAGTACGAAGACACTGTTTTTTTAGTTTTTACAAGTACTGAGGGCAGGCAGAGATAAGGCGAAGGAGATGGGCTGTCTGAAAGTATGATTCTCTTGAAACACTTTAAATTGGGCACCAAATAATGAAAACAGCATGAATTAGAACATTTTCAGAGATCCAGGCTTAGCCAGTAGAGGACAGTGTGGCTGAATTCCCTAATGCACCAGCTATTCACACCCATGCCCAAGTCCTTGTCCCAATAACTATGTCTCTTTCCTGTCTCCATGCTTGTTTTTTCCAAGCCATCAGGCTGTCTAGCTCCCCAACATTCAGTTCTGCAACTGCCATTACTATACATAGCTTTGGCTCTCCTAAACAGATCCTCTGGCTTAAAAATATGCTCAAAAACCAGAGAAGAAAAAAAAAAAAAAACCTGACAAGAAGAACTGTGCCACTCATTGTCTGTTTTAAATGGAGAATCCTTGGGCTGGAACACAAGATTTCTGGACATTACACACTGTGTGTGCAGACAAGATGGCACGACTTAGTCATGTCTGCAATCACTGACTTACACACTTTGCCAAGCTCTTGTTAAAGAGGCTGGGATTTTGCTGGTCACTCCTCATAGATTTCTGATCTCCTAAGTTTACTTCTTCCTTGATTTTTTGAAGATGAAATTATATAGTACAGGCAAAGTTTTGCAAGAGTTATGCCCCAGTGATCAGTGATGCACTACTTTGTTAAGATGAAAGGAAATAGTGTGCTTCCAGTGGGAATATCCCCTAACAATCTGTGGGTCAGGCTTCCAAACTTGATAAAATAAAAGGCAATCCAATTAGCCATGTACAGCATCATAATCAGCTCTCCTGCAGTAGTCCAGCTCCAGGGAATTAGGATTAACCCAGAACACATCAGGACTGCCAGACCATTCCTCCTTTAGCCTTCACAGCACTAGTCCTGACACCTACAATGGACAATTCTAGCAAATTCTAGAAAATGGTCTTAATGCACATTTTAGCTCAGATTAATGACCTGCTCGAAATTTAGCTTGATTTCTTTTTCAAAAGCTCTGGCATTTGCAGTCTTCAGAAGCTCAAAAAAATTGAAAAAATAGCATAACCTTATTAAAAAATTTAGACATGGAGTTATGAACCTGATTTGAAGCATTTCTCCTTGAAAATTCTGGAATCCATTCATGAAGCACTTCACCAAATGTATTTTAATAAGCGTCATATGAGGAGAAGAGCTGCAGGATTGATGCTTGATTGTTTAATTTGCCTAGTGCTTCTTAAGATTCAGGTGCCAACAATAAATTTTATGGCTGTTACTAAAATTCCAAGAAACAGTAAGGACTTAGTCTTGTGGCATTGCCATATTTTTCACTTGGGAGAATCCCACCCACAAGCCCTGCAGTCCAGTAGAATGACTTAACAGAAAATTGCTTGGATTGCTGGAGTGTTTGCTCTTCAGTGCAGCACTCCAACATTAACTACAGCATTGATCCCTGGTGGCTGCCAATAATTTTGCTACTGGAAAAGAAACAGGAAAGAATCATCTGTAAGACTTCTTAGGGTGGTTCACTGCAGTTTTTCTTGTTTTACTCTGATGTAACTTCAGTGACACTTTAATTGTCTGGAACTGGAGCAATGCAAGTACAGCACCTCTCCTAAACTGCGATAGTAGCGCGTTTTCCTGAAAAAATCAACGAACATATTACTGTCCCCAGGGCTAACAGAGACGTGGGTGAGGCTGCATGGAGGGGCATCAGACACACGATGACCTTCCCTCCCAAAGCCTCACACTGAGACTTTTCCATCCACCCTGATTTCCCCAAACTCTGCCTAGGCTGCCCCTCTCTGATAGTTAACCCATGTCATAAAAGACTTCTTGTGCCCTTGATTCCTAATGTAAACTAAGATTTGCTTCTGATTATTTCCTGATTCAGAATACTTTCAAAAGAAATCTATAGAAGTGAAGCATTACAGAACATTTTCAGCAAAGCCTTCTTTCTGAGTAGAAAAGCCTGTGCCAATAAACTATGATTTATATGCATGTCATTCTCATGCCCTGAATAGTAGCAATGCCAACATTTTATAGATTTTAACTTTTTTTTATGGACCCTGGACAATCAATGCTTTGTTCAAAATGTTTTCATAAACAAGATGGAATTTACATCAGTGACTACTTCTAATAGCCACTGGACTGACTTCACAACAAGGGAATTTTTTGAAAGTAAGCAGTAGGAGTTATATAGGCTGGATCATTTTCATATCATATGACTGAAATGTGTATCTGCTTTTTGAAATGCAATTATTTAAAAATTATTTTATCTTTAGCCTAGCAACCCAGATGGACTGTTTGAACAAAACCAGAAGGAAAAACGTAAAAACAGATTATTTTTTTGGTATTCACATTCAGTGGGCAACAGTCTCCAAAATTACATTTGATACAATATAATGAATTTCAAGTATGACAGTGTCATTGAATTTAAATCAAATGTGCTTTAATGTATTGCATAAAGAGAAACCTAGTTTTAATTGGAACACTGCCATATAAAATTCCTGCAATCTGTATGCTTCAAAATTAAATAAAACAGTACATGAAAATACCAGAGATGTTAATAAAAGAAACAAAAATGTCTTTTGCTGATCATTCTAGCTTCCCTGCTCCCAGACTGTAGCCCTTTTTCTGCACTTCTTAGATTTGGGCTTTTTGATTTTTAAGATTTTGTACTAAAGTTATATTTGCATATGAATAGTGAATTTAACTGATCTGCTCTCATCTTTAAGCATATTACTTTTCCTTGCATCAACTTCAACATTACTTCAACACATAATTTCTCTTGACAGAAACCTGATCCATGATAAATATCTGTCCACAGGTGAGAACTTTTGTGCTTTGCTCACTCACTTATTGTTATTAACAATAACACACCCTATGCCTTTTCTTTATGCTTTGTCACAACCTATGCCTTTTCTTTACGAGGATTTTGGCATTTGCTAAGTACCATTTCTAAGCTGTGACAAGAAACTAACAGTTCTGTTTGTGCAGTGTTGTGGAAATAACTCTGAGTCCATAGCCAGTTAAAAAACTTGCACCTTGACATGCGGGCAAGGCTGGGACATGTTTAGATCAGGGCTTTTCTAACAGTGCAAAGCATGCTCTGGACACATAACCTCATTTGTGTCATTAATAAGGAGAAGGTGGAATGAATTTTTGCAAAACAAACAACAGCAGTAATAATTTAATGTCCTTGTCGTGGTTGGCACTGTGTTTGACACTCCAAAGAATTCATACGTGTAGGTCAGCAGTTTTCATCGTGCTCCTTCATGGGCTTATGTCTTGCTGTAAACAAAGCATGGCTGCTGTCAGGGACAGCTTCAGCTGGCTCCTGTACCAGACCTGTCCTCCTGCAGCCATCAGTCCCTGTACCTGCAGGTCTGTCTGTCCCTCTGCCTTCAGGCACCCTGTCACACAGGGCTGTTATTCCTCATGCATGAATGGCTGCTAACTGCTAATGCATTTCTCCAGAAAGTCTTCTGTTTTTAAAACCACATCCCTCTCTCCAGATGGATGGTGTGCCTGACTTTCCCCCCATAGCTTGTTCTCCCTCTCTTGCAGGTATCGCAATTACTGGGATTCCTTCTCCTCCCTCAGAGCTCTCACAGCTCCTGAGCAGTGCTGCCGTGAAATCCTGCAGCTCCTTCTGATTCACTTCTTAGAGTTGAAATAGGGAATACTTAGAATACTTAGAATATTTTAAATCGCAGGTCCCAGTTCAGGAAAGCACTTGATAACAGGAACACTATGCACATGCCTGACATTAATCTTGGCCTCTCAAGAGCACTTTTTCAGATAGGTAAGCTCACCTGACTTTCAAGCAAGTAATGCTGGAGGGAAATGATCCTGCAAGCATCAGCTGCAAAGATAAGAATCTGAAAGTGTCTGCAAATAAACCTTGCTATGCATGTGCTGTGTTCCTGAAGGAAGCTGCCGTGAGGTTTAAGCACGGTTATAGCACAGGCTCTTGCACAGTCTGTGCAGGCCCGACCGCGACCTCGAGAAGGTTTGTGGCATTTCCAGTAAACAGCTCCAGTGATGCTGAGGAAAACCACCAAAAAACAGCTCCAGTGATGGTGGGGAAAACCACCAGCAAAAAAAAAAAAAAAAAAAAAAAAAACCCCCAAAAAAAAAAAAAAAACCAAACAAAACAAAAAACAAACAAACAAAAAAAAAAAAACCCCAAGAGTTTCATCTTCTACAGAGATTTCCTTGTGCATTCCAGAGACCTAGATTCATTCCATTGTCCTGCTGCAAGATCCCACGGACTGAGTTACAGCAACTGCTGGGCAGGGCTCTGGGGCACGGCCGGAGCGCAGCA